AAAAAAAAAAAAAAAAAAAAAGTGCGCGAGACACGTGCGCGGGAACGTTTCACACGCACGTCATTCAATTGTTGCAGCGTGTATAAACAATTGATAAGATAAACTCGGGCGCGCGCTCTTTTATTAGATGACGTTGCAGCTCGCGCTAATGTGCCGCAATACGTAGCAATATCGCGCTCCGCGATCAAAAGTGAGAAAAAACATTTATCGTGCCGCGACAAGCAATTTATGAGTCATCTGAAGTATATTGATTGAATAATTGTATTATACGGAAGGTCGCGATCTTGAAGACGATCATCGAATCGTTCATTAAAGAGCAAAAGTCGCAACCTTCGCGTTCACGTCCGGCCTTCCTTGACGAGTTTCCTGATTTCTCTAACACGCCCGACCGACCGGGTCCATTCGATACAACCGCAACGCGAGTCGATACAACCGCGACAGCTTTCCGTTAGATTAATTCCGGACGACCTGCAATTGGTCATCCACAAGTTCTGACAATCGATCATACAAGTTTTTTTTACATTCAATAAAAGATTTTTTTTTCAAACGACGCACCGAGAAAATTAATATAAAAAATTCGTTGAAAATCGAATTCTTTCGCGCTTGCGGAATAATTTGCCGATAATTCGCTTCGACGTTGAACGAGAAGACGTCGTTCGAAGGGACAGAATTAACGACGTGCGTGATACAAAAAAAAAAAAAAAACGATCGAGATCGAATTTGCAAGCGCGGCGCCGCCGATTGCCCGTCGCTTATCCGTCGCTTCCACTCGAGAGATAACTTCGCTCCGCAAATAACCAGTAGAGTAAGGGATTGTCATCTCATTAATTCGTACATCATGGTCCACTTTCATTTACGCGATGGTTTAGAACACGGTTTAAGAATAGCAGCATCGCTCCGACGGACACGAGACAAAAATTGACACCGGTCCAACCGGTGGATTTTGCCGCGAGATCATCGCGTCGCTCAACACGAAGTTTCTTCACTGGAGAGAAGAGCATCTTCATCAGAAAGACGAGAGCTATTCGCCGTTTCTTTTGTGTCAAATCAAGAAATAAAACTAGGGAAAAATGTGTCGGTGTGCGAACAAGACACCGTGTTATCATTTCTTTATCGGAATGTTCGCGCGATGTTTTCGCGTGTCGAGAAAAACATTTGCAATTGACAATTTCTCGGGATAAAGGAAAAAACAGCTCTGATGGTGAAAATCTTATCGCAAAATCCACAAACGGGGGCAAACGCGATCGCGTCGCGGGTTGTATCGATCCGCATAGTTGAGTTGCGCGACATAGTTGACAGTAACTGAACGTGAAAGAGAGAAAGAGAGAATTTCTTAGGTGACAATGAGCCATTATTCGCCGCGTGTGCAAATATTCCCGATCGATTTAACGCTCGTACCGGACGAGATCGCGACGCGTGCGATATAAGCGCGGATGGGAGAGATTAAAATTTATTCGCGCGAGTTTTAACGCGCACACGCAACATCGAAGATTATTCAATTAACTGGACGCAACTCTAGACCGGGGAATTGCGTCAATTAACGTTGTGTTCTCTCGCGTCTTGTTTTTCAGAAATGTGTTCTCTCCCCCCCACAAGTTCCAACCTTAAAAATAACATTTTTATCGAAACATCCGTTAGGATCGTTAAAAAAAAAAAAAAAAAATAGTTGCCTCGTTACCATTCGCGCGAGCAACCGATAAAATCGCAACGTACGACGGGAAAAGGCGAGAAACTTTATTTTTCCCGAGAAGAGTTCTCGATTGTCTCTTTGTCATTTTAGTTTGTTGCGCGAGCAATTTCTGCCCGTCGGAACGGAACGCGAAATGAGAAAGAACTTGGGAAAAGAGAGTCCGCGTTAAGACGACGCGGAAGACAACGACGGTAAAAAAGAACAGGGAAAGAAATTATTAACGATCGAGAAACGAATCGATATCAGTCACCTGAATGCCTCTTTTTGCGCGATATAATAAGCGCAAAACTATAAGCAAACAACGTCTCGTTGGGTCAACCGGTCACTGCTCGCTCGATATAACCGGAGGCGCCTCTCTTTCTCTCACGCACATTGTTTTATTATACTCCTCTCTCGCGGAGGAATTTGCTCTGTATAAAAAAAAATCTGATGTATTAAATTTTCAACGCGCAACTACAATCAAACATTCTAAAAATATCTAGACTACATCGCGAATATATCAGTCGGGAAAGCGGAACTACGTGCGATATTATTTGTTTTCGGTATTTCGTATTAAATTTGCATATTGCGCGCGCGCACATGCGAGAGCAATTAGACTGTGTGTGTGTGTGTGTGTGGGTGTGTGTGTGTTCTCTATCTTCGATCACACATCCGACGAGAAGCAGCAAGCTGTACAAATATTGGTCCGTGCTATCTTAAAAACGCGATACGAGTTTCGGCAAACGCAAACAGCTGAATTAAATTTAAGTCCGTCTGACTGCAACTGTAATAAATTTTGATACAAAATGTGATAATTGCTATGTAATTAATTACGATTCAAGATGCAAGAGACAGATACGCTGTTACGTCAATTTGGCGCGAGAATAATTGATGCGGTTTTTTTTAACGAGGTTTAAAGCAACAAAAAAGTGCAAACATAATTTTCGCTGTTTTATTCAACTTTGTTTGAGAACCGCAATTAGTTTCGCGCCAATCCGACACATCTCTACAACGTCGTACGATTATCGTGGAAATATATATAATTTGTACATCCGATCCAGTTTTTTTCTCTCTCTCTCTCTCTTTCTCTGTCTCTAGCAACGCCAACGCTTTTGTTTGTGTATATGGTGTCTATTCTTAATTCGCGACAAGAGAGAGAGAGAGAGAGAGAGAGAAAGAGACAGAAAAGTAAGAGAAAGATGATCCCCGTAACGGAGTTCGAGAAGAACTACGGTCAATCAATGTTTTGAGTGTCGTCGATAATTTCATATAATGAATTTTCGCATCGCCCAAGTGCGTTGCCGTTAATCGTCATTACGCCTCGCACATCCGTTTGTTTACAATGAAGAGCAATTTAAAGTATCTCACTTCGAATTGAAGCGGATCGCATCGATGATTTACTTTTGCGTCTTTATTTTGCTTCTCATAATTGATCGACGCGCAAGGACGACAAAAGCCGACATAGCGCCGGGCTATGTATGGGCGCAAAATTTCTCGAATCGAGTCGTTGTTTTTCTCTTCGCCCACGTACGTACATATATGTTCGAAGAAGATCTCTTTCAACGGTGTAATACATCACACGCATACCCGATCCGTTGCGCCAGCTTTTTTCCGTTCCCTTATCAGGACAGGTTTTCTCTCCCTTTTTCCCTCTCTCGGGCTCTTCTTCTCTCGTCAAGCCAAAGAAACGAAAACAAGGGAATGCGCGCGCGGTCCTGGGATCCCAACGGAGCTCGAGTCTAAACTTGAGATGAGTCGGTTACGAAGGCGGGGTTCTGATTCTTCGCGCAAGAGCCAGAACTTCACAGACGATCATCTTGCAGATGATAATCTTAGAACCGCCGTCAGTCGCGAGATAACTCCCGGATGAATCTCGGAACTTTTTTTTTTTTCATCTACACGTTCGAGTTCCACAATTTTAAGGAGAGAGAGAGAGAGAGATCGTGATATTGCGAGAATTTTTTGTTCCCTCTCGTCTTATATAAGACGTCTGGCCAAGAATTGTGTTGACGAGTGTGTTTTACGCGACCCGCAGAAAATAAAATATTCTTTTTTTCCAATTAAACGCGATCTGAATCGCGACAGTCACCAATTATTTCAAGATTTATTCTGTTTTTGTGTGATCTGCGTGATTGTGTTGCGCACAATATTTTTCAGCATCCTGAAAATATTACTCAATGATTTTTTGTTTCTCTAATAAAACTACGTATACAATCTTTTTTTTTTTTTTTCGCGCGCGCGGAACATCCGAAAGGCCAAATTACACCAACCGAAACTATTTTCAACTAAATTTTAAACCGAATTAATTTAAATCACAAATACACGACACGCGGCGTTGTGTGCAACCAAAAGAAACAGCGCGATATCATATTTTCACATCATAAATCCCCGTATCTACTGTTTGTACGTACCAAGCTTGTTATTAGACAGCCTCAACGTCAAAAGGGGCTTTAACGAAGAGGAAGATGATACGCAAATCCAGGCTTTTATCTGTAGCGTGTATCGATAAATAATACTCGTGCGATGGAAAAACATATAATTTGCAACACGTGTGTGTGTGTGTGTGTGTCATTCGCCGGCACAGCGATCGTTTGTTACCTCATCGCGTTCGTCGTCTTGTCGTTTTCTCTCGCGAGTAAATAATTCAAAGAAAAACTTGGCGGAGATTGCACCCGGAAATGACGACAGTCATCGACGTTCCCGGCAATTTCTGTCATC